AACTTCCCACTGGTGCTTTCTTTCAGTCACGAAACAGTGGCGAAAGCGTTCCTTGTAGGGACAAGTGGTCCAAAAGTTCAGGTAGAATTTTGGCAGAGTACTATTTGAGAATTCAGTATATTCGCCCTTTGGGTATGGGAACCACCCTAGGTCTTCATCTTTCCACTTCTCTGGACTTGCGCTTTCACTTGTTCCTGCAGCCGATGTGCTACCAACAGAGTCAGGAGAAGCGGGCATCCTTTTTAGAATGGCGAGTCGGCAAACAGCCACAATAACCACAAGTTGCTCCATCTGACTTCATGAAATCCTTTCATTCAACACAAGCACATTTCCCTCTTTCTATTCCTTGTGCATCCTTGCCCATTTTCAAGTTTTCACCGTACAATCACATGCCACACAATTTACTACTTTGTGCGCAGATGAACGTGGTTATATGAGCAACACTTCGAGTTTGTTATTTTCAATTCCGGTTATTTTTGTCTTGGATAGGTAGCGGGGGAGGGTCAGATGTTTTTGTTTGGGTATTTCTAAAGGGTCATGCATTAATCCATTCCAGAAAGTGAGAGGACCACGACTTTTTTCACAAAAAAATTCTAATATCCCGGCCCACCCCCCAATAAAAAACGTACCTTCCCTTACTCTTTTCAAAGAGAAAGCATCAAATATATGAATTCAGGAAGAAATTTCCTTGGGTGGATGCAAGTCATAACCAAAATGTTTTTGTTGTTTTTCTTGTTATAGTTATTATTGTTGTTATTGTTGTCATTTAATGTATTCTTTTTTGTACTTGTTATGTTTTTTCAACATGGCTTAACTTGGAACGCACTCGCTACAGGAGCTGGACAAGGTATGTGCCCTTGTATTTGAACATCCATCAGTATAGTAATCCTGTTCGAGGTTCTTGTAATTATTTATAGTAGGAATGCTACAAAACAAAAGGCTCTGTGCCCTTGTTTATGGTTTAGGTTTCATTTGAGCATGCTAGTGATTGCCAGTCCTGATCTGCATGAACAATTAATGACCTTGGGAAAAAGAGAATTGAACTTAATGTTGGTGTTGAGCAGGGCTTTCAATAAGCACCGACGGCCGACAAAGTGTGTCAGCTACTTTGCTCAGTGAAGTTGGCTACTTTTCTCTAAAAAGAACTAAGAAGCAACTAGTTTAAACAACGTCGTAAACTAAAAAAGGATAATAAAATCTGAATGAACTGGTTTTACGTACTAATGCCTTAGTCATGTGAACGCCAAGGCTGCTGCCTAAGAAAATTTTTTGGGAGCCCTTTGGGCTCCTAAAATAAAAAGTTAGGAGCCTGAGCCACATTCCTAGGAGCCCAATTAAAAAATATCAGTAACTTTATTAACCCTTTGGTGACGGCCATTGAGTAGCGAAAAAATTGCTTTTTGACCAAGTCCTCTTCTTTGGCTTCTTTGGATTAGTTTTCGGTTAATTAGCATTTATAAAAATGGCTAAAAATAAGTTTTGCAAGAAAAAAGCCATATTTTTCGACTGATCTGACATAATTAGTTATAAACCACTTGTTTGTTTTTCATACGCGCGCAAAAGCCAAAATTTGGACCTTTTTTTTTTTACGAATCTATTTCAATTTTTCTCTCTCACTCTCTTTTTTCCTTTGCCTTTTCTTGTTTATTAGCAGTTTTGTTGCCCACTTTATCATCCTTTTTTTGCATGGAATTGTGACTGGCTAACGTTTAAGGAAAGGGGCAAATTTAATGTTCAGAGAGTAGTATGTAAACAGCGAAACTGGAAGTGGATTTTTCCCCAAAATGTTACGGTACCTTTTTTGTGAGTGTAACTCTGACAGGATTGGTCAGAATATCCAAAACAAGGTATTGCTGGAAAGATCTATCTTTGGACAAGTTAACGTTTATCAATTTATACCCTGCAAGCAGAGGCCCTTTGATCTTCCAAGATAAGTTGGGAAGGCTTAAGGAGCGTTGGATGACAAGAAAAAAACCGGAACTCAAGCCTCGAACGAATCGAGTTTCAAGAAACTAGCATATTTTATATTCACCACTCGAAAGGATTTCGAGAAACATAACAGCAACCATTCGCACAGATGGTGAACGCACCGACCAACAGCACTTGCGTGTACAATTTAAGCGAAGTTAAGTTTAAGTTTTTAGGCGATAAAAAAGGAGCAACAAAAGGTTTTTATCTGAAAGTTTGGAAAATTGACTCAGTATTTTTGTATCACGTCTATCTTTTGAACTATCACTGTTTTGATATTTGTGAAGGTTCGTATTTACGTGCGTACACACAATGCCATAAATTAACAAGAGATTGAAATATGATCCTGAATAGCTGCTGTGAATCATTTTCAAAGACTGGAATATTTTTGCAAGCCAGTTCAAAAGTTAACGCAAAAAATAGAGAGGCGTAGATAACACTGAATAAATGGTAAAAGAAACTTCCAAGTGTACTGTTCGTGCTCGTACCAAGCTTTATAGAAAACGCTACAAACTTGCAATAGTTCAATAATAGCATACCAATGTCACAAGTAATTTGAAGCCAGCTTGCTTTTCCACAGATCTTTCTCCCCACCCCATCTTGCCTTTCTCGCGTGAGGCGTTTTTCACACGCGCTCGCATTTCACTCGCTCTACTATCCCTGAGTAAAAATGGGGCACTTCTCGTAGTCTACTTAATTTTATCGGTTTTTACTTCATGCAGTAGTGACCTAACATTTCTAACGCTGAAGGAAGAGTCATGATTTTGTTATCAAAGGTTTTTCTAAAACTTATAAATTCATTCAATGCCATTTTCAGACGATAAACTTCAACTGCTCTGCAGCTGAAGTCACAGAAGCGAATTTCAAGACATAGTGCTGTTTGTTTAACTTCTATTGGCAGAAATATTTTTTTGCATTTGGCTGACGATCAAATGTTTTTTGTTGTTATTTCAAAAGTGCAGAATGAGCAGAGAATTTTGTTGTTTGTTCATTGGAACTTAGACTGAAAATCATAACTTTAAGGCGCCTGTTAGGGCTCCCTGTTTGAAATTTTGGTCGCCCGAGGATAAATAGTAGGAACCTCAGGCTCCCAGGCTCCTGTTAGGCAGCAGCCTTGAACAGTAAATTTCAGTCAATTTTTCACAAGTTTTACGCAGACTAGGATTACGCAAAATTTGTTTACATGCAAAGTACATAATTTAGTTTTCATCATTCGTTCATTGGTTATACGAATTGATTGTGGGGCTGATGAATCAAACCTGGAATGAAAACTACATTTTTGTGAATGAGAAACACAAACTGCAAGAAAATGTCTTGGAAGAGGATGTACTCTTTTATGAGGGAACCCAGAAATTACAGAAAATTATGAATACTTCATTACTGTCCCAAGGACTTTTGTCTAGGATTGTAGAATAGGGTTAATTAAATTCAAATGCTTTGAACATGAGTCCAGGTTAATTTGCAGCAAAGGTGCTGTATCTCATAGTGTAACAAATCAAAACATTATTTTTGTAATAATAATATTGAATTTTATGGAGCTCATTTGTTGATCAAGATAGAAACAAAACATATAGTATTTAAAAACAACAAATTTAGAGGTTTGAAAGTTAGGGCTGTCAACCCCCCATGTCATTAAATATTGAGAATTGATAGGAAAGGAATAATAGATGACATCATACCGCACAACAAATGATGCCATTTATACACTTTTTTGTCCTCAATTTAGTACCCAGAACACTGGATATTGCATTTTAGGGCTTTGAAATTTCAAAATATTCTGGGGAAACACACCCCCAGACCCCCCTCTTCCCCCCTAGAAAAAGGGGACTAATGGCCCCTAGTTGATACAGTTGAATACTCTTTTCAAACTTGCTGACTCCTTCAATTTTATTGAAACCCTTACTCATTTCATTGACAGGCACACAAAATCTTGGAATCTGGAACATGCTGAGTAGTAGTTGAAAAACCAATACAACAACTCCTTCTTGTTTTCTTTGTAAAAAAGAACTGTGAAAACTGGTTGGCTACCTATCTGAACACTTTGAAAGCAGTCGCATTATAAAGAACCCATTGACATTGCTTTGGCAATATTACGTGTCAGCAAAACCAGTAAAAGGCTCTTGCTACCACTTTAAATGCATGTGTGATTCCAATCAAATTACCTTAATGTTGTTTTGGTAAATCCCGAACATTATTATTTTGTGGACATTTCAGATTTTCTTTATTCTGTTTTGACTATTGTTGTGACCTCACCAGTATTTTATTAATCAACTTAAAAAAAAAATCATGTCATTGAAGATCCTATTCAGTATGGTTATAGCTACAATCATGGTCAAAAGTCTTGAGACACTTGCATTTCTAGGGCATTTTTCAATGCCCACAGTCAAGCCCAAGCCCTCCCCTCACCCAACAAACAATGTCGGACGCATGGATCCAGATTTTTTCCCGAGTTTCAACTTTGTACAGGGTGGGGGAAGGGAGAACTACAAGAAAATGGCAAAAATTTGATTCCGATCGAATTATATAACACATAAACCGTTCATGTTTAGCCACATTATTGCTTAAATTACAGTGGCATACCAGAATTTATGAGGAAACGTTCCATGTTAGCAGTAGCTGAAACAACGCAAAATATTTGAAATTTTATGGTCAGAAAGTCGAGTCTACAAGAAATAGCAACTTTGGCGATTGTCCAGGCGATATCAGACTCTAATCTGGAGACCGGGAGATACAGTCCAAAATCGGGAGTCTCCCGGGTTGTCCAGGAGAGTTGACAGCAGTGGAAAGTACATGTGCCAATTAGTGCAATTGACTGTCACCGTAACAAGAAGTGATGCCGAAAGTATCTTAGGCAAAGGTTGTAGCTCTCAGAATTGACAATAACATTCAATTGAAACTCCAAGCTTAGAATTATCTATGACAGTGACTTGGTTTCTCACATATTTATGTTATCATGTAGTTATCTTATTTTGCTTATAGCATTATTTTGTCTTGATTAATAACAATCTGATTTAACATTCTGGCTTATTTCTTTAGATGTTGGACGTAGCTGCATCCTTGTCACCATTGGTGGGAAAAACGTCATGCTTGATTGTGGAATGCACATGGGATATAATGATGAGGTACTGTTTTTACTTATTGTGTGCTTCAACAAAAGTGTTTTGCTAGCTGCAATCCACTACGTTCAATTACCGTTCTCAAAGATGCATTACAACACCTTCAAAACCCAAAGTAGAATTAAAGTACAAATATCACTAAGAGAATGCATAAATAAAAGAATATAACGAACGCCAGATCAATGTTCCTCGATAGGTACCCAGTAGCAATTGTGTCCTGCAGCCGCGAATGTTCAAAACCATTGAGTCCTCTCAAATCCACTCTCCACTATTTTCCACAACGAATCTACTCTTCCAAGTTACAACTCATGTCTTTGAATTAATCACAATTTCGCCTTACTGAAAAGTACAATTTATGAATACTAAACATTAAGGGCTTCAATGAGTATGTGCATATGGAATGTCACGAACTTTCGCATGTATCAGCGAAACACTCCCCCCTACAAAAACCCTTCGGTAAGCTTATGTCCTCACCGTTATACTTGCTCTCTCATCTGCGCTCGGACAACTGATATTCCTTCTTACTGCTCAGTGGAGATTCCCTCGCTGTCGTCCACTTGAACTAACACGATTAATCTGTGCACGGCTCTCTGCACGGTGACGTAGCCCCTGCCTTCGTACTTGTCGACGGGTTCACCTTGTCTGGGGTTCTTGTATTTTACGTCCACTATCCTTACTCTGGTATCATCTCCAGGGTAAACCTTGGACACTTTACCAAGCTTCCAATTACCTTGCACCTGATTTGAATCTTGGATCAGCACTACATCACCTACCCTCACGTTGCGCTTCTTTGTATGCCACATCTGCTGCACAATCAGACTTGGGAAGAAATCTCTCATCCACTTTCTCCAGAAAGCGTCTACAATCTGCTGAACGAACTCAAAGCGGTGATTTGGGTTTCTTGTCTCTCTAAAGGGACCACTAGGGACCCCAGGGGTGGATCGGCCTAAAAGGAGATTGGGGCACAGGTAAGTCCCATCTTTGGGTGACGTCAGACGCCTACCAATTGGCCTTTCGTTAACCAGGTTTGCTGCCTCTCATAGCAGACTGCCTGCAACTCAGAGAAGGTCATCACACTCTCACCGACCGCTACCATAATTACCTTCTTCACAGACTTCACAAGAGCCTCTGAGGTCCCGTTCTGCCAAGGCGCGTCGGCCGGAAGAAATTTCCATTCCATTCCCTTTGTCGCACTGAACGCGGCCAGCTTATCCCAATCCCAAGGTGCCACAACTTTCTTGAGCTCCTCGTTTGCCGTTGTTAACTGACTACCATTATCTGAAATCATTTTCGCTGGGTAACCTCTCAGTAACACAAATCGCCTTAAGACCATCAAGAATTTCTCAGTGTGGTAATAAGGTGCCAAATCTACATGGACTGCTTGCGTGCTAAGGCAGTTGAAGATGACACCATATGCTTTGCCTGTGGGTCGCTTCTGGACTTCACCTCTAATCCTGAAGGGGCTAAATAAATCAACTGTCGTACAATTCCATGCAGGTGCTGGCTTAAGCCTTTCCTGGGGGAGCCATCCCATCAGTTGCGTCGTAGTCTTCTTGTCCAACTTCTTGCAAGTTACACAGTTGTATCTAATTGACTTCACTATTCTAGGCAGCCCGATGACCCAGAACCTTGATCTCATTTTGCTTGTCGTAGCAGATACTCCCTGATGGCCTTCTTCATGTATATGTTTCGCGTACAAGCGGGATAACTCATGCCTAAACGGTAGAAGTGGAACTTTGTGCTGATTGTAGCTCATCTCCAGCCATTTCTCTGCACGTCCTCCTACGACAATTATCCCATCCTCTCGCACTCTTGGACACAGGCGTCTGAATCGTCCATGTTTCATGTCAATTAACATAGTTTCTTGGGCTTGGAAAATTCAGAATTGCTCTGCTTTAGTGACATCTGCCGGCTCAAGGACTCTGGCAGCATTTCTGAAGCTCTGCTTATAATCAGTTCGGAACATGGCAAGCACTCTAGCCATTACCCTAACCAGCCTCGTAGAATCTGAATATCCACTTATGTCAATCCTGACCGCTAGGGAGTCTTTGGGCTTGGTGTTAGCTATCATTACGACCCTAGGTTCCAGTGGAAGCTCTTGTATGGCACAAATCCTACTAATAGGCCGCTCAGATGCTGGCACCTTTCAAGAAATTTGGACCCTTCTGCCACACGCTGTTTAAGTCGATTTCGTTTGGCTCCTTGCCTCGAGTGAGCCAGTCGGCTATGTTCTGCTAGACTGCAGAACAATCGGTTTTTTTCTCAAAATCACTAAAGAAATCGGTAAAGTGTGGTGTAAGACTCGTATGTGCGCAAAGCGCTCGAGCCTCACACATATGCAAAAATACGGACTGTTTTGTAGTCTAATGTTCTGCTTGCTAACTACCCAGCACCAGTCAGTACCACTTTGAATCTCTCCAATGCGTGTTGCAGCAAACGTGTTGTACCAATATCATTCCTTTTGTACCATGGTGTGTACTATCTGCGAGTCAACAATGTGCAAGCACCTGGTAAATCAATATCTCGATTATCTCTCCAGAAGCTCTTTAAGACGCTTGCTCAGCACGGCTCCGCACAGCTCAATCCGGTCAATGGACATTGCCTTAACTGGCACGAGTCGGTTCTTAGAGATGGCTAATCTGCTTTCAAACCCTCCACCGTTCAGTACCCAGCGGACGTACACACAGGCACCATAAGCACTATTTGATCCGTCACTGAAGATCACTTGCATTGGGCTTAAGGCATCTACCCACAGGGTTTGCAAATTTTATTGATGAGTAGAGTCACTGTGATTTCTGCTTCGCAAATTTTGGAGTCATTTTGGAATATTATTTTGGAGTCATTAGCATCACAACGAAAAAAGCCCTTTTCAGACGTTCCAACACATGGCCCTGGCATGTATACATACACTATCGTGAGGGATACACGAAGTGGCTGTGGCGGTCCGCTGACCTGGAAAGCTCAAATCCATGATGGCAGTCATCGAGTAAACTTTGATTGTAATTTACCCTCTTCCTGTTTTGCCGTGCAGTATAATTCTTTAATTTTGCTGATTTAATTAAGATTTACAACGTTTACAATTAACGTAAATTGTATTTGTTGCGAAAAAGGTAAGGACAAAACTGTGTTTGTTACCGAAAATTTCTGGAGTTGAAGTGGCCCCCTGTTTGGTACCGAAAATTTCTGGAGTCAAAGTCACTCCCTCGGTAACCTCTGTGGAGTCATCAGAACAATTTTGGCATAAAAAACGCCAAATTTGGCGTATTTGCGAACCCTGTACCGAACTTGATGTTGTTCATGATAACTAAATCTGAACAGAATGTATTCCAGTATGCTCTGCATTCGTCTGACACTGGATCGTCCCAATCAAGCTGCTCCTCTTCACTCATCCACAGTTTTCTCATCATGATTTTCTCTCTAACGGTAAATGGACCTGCCAATCCAAGTGGATCATAGATGCTGTTGATCTGGGAGAGAATCATTCAGTTTGTCAACTTTGCAGGAAACCTCTCTGTTAGTTGATGGGATTCTATATCCAGCTCGGTACGCCGCTTTCTCTTTCGTCCGGAGAAATTCAACGTCACCTTGAAGCAAAACAGGTCCTCAACGGGTCTCCAACAAACTCCCAAGACTTTCTCTGCGGGTACATACATTTCACTGGGTATCTCCTTCTCATTTCAGCTGTCAGAGCTGCCTGAGATGGTCCAGCCTTTAATCTTGAATCCCCTTATGTCAACCAGCTTCTCTATGTTCCGCGTTACGCTTTCAGCTCTCTCCCTATCACCAACACTCTCAATTTTGTCATCCATGTAGGTGTTGTCTCTAATGATTTTGGCCTCTTGAGGGTACTTCTCTTGCGCCATTTCGGCCGTTTTCCTCAATGCTACTGTTGCAATGGTTCCCAACGGTCTTTCACCAAATCAGACTCTCTGTACGACTTAAGTGTCTGGCTCTTTCCTGGCATCCATGTCTCTCCATAGAAACCGATGCGTGTGCTGTTCCAGCTGGGTGGTTCCCACGGAATGGTGCATTTTCTTTATTTCGCCAATTAACGCCACCTCATTCTCTCTAAACCTTATCAGCACACCCAGAAGGCTGTTCAGAAGGTCCGGTCCCTTGCTCCAATATTCATTTAACGCGTGACCCATGTATTTGGCACTGGTGTTAAAGACTATTCGTACGGGTGTGGACTTTGAATTCAGAAGTATAACTTCATGATGCAAAACATAATGAATAGGCCCATCGTAGGCTTCTAATTCGCTCTTCGTTAGCTTTCGGGCAATGCCCCTGTCTATCATATCTTGTATCTGCTCTTGATATACTCTTGCGTGGTCAGTATTCTTGGCAAGTCTCTTTTCCGTAGACAATAGCATTCCGAGTGCGGCCTTTCTATTGTCTGGAAGATCAGCCGGGTCTCTTATCCATGGATATGGAGTCATCCATCTATGCTCAAGGTTATTGAAGTGCAGATTTCTCTCAATCAACTGTAGCTCTTTCTCTTCCTTTAGACTGTAATTCTTCTTGCCGAGCGGACAATTTCCACATTTGCAACCCCCACAGCAAGGCATACGCTCCACCTCCAGGTTCTCGATATTGTAGAAGTCTTCAATCTTTACTTCGGCTACGTGGTGCACGAGGGCATTCTGCATTGCGTTTTTTTGCATCCTTTAACTCCGCGTGAGTGCCGCCGAGGCATCTTCCAAATCAGTTTCTCAGCAACAGCAAATGACCCGATTTTTGTTCTTTTACGGGGTGGTATCCGGCGTATTCATATCCTATTAGCATGTCCACACTACCGGTTGGTCTTCTTATCTCTTATAATGTAACATCCTTAAAAAGATGAACTACATTATTGACGCTCACTCTAGAATGTCCGCTGTTATTACATTAGTACCATAAACTTTGAATGGTACAACTTGCCCCTGAGAGTCGATCAGCGGGAGAAGGTACCTGTTAGACATAATTGTTTCACTTGTGCGTCCAACTTCGACGATAGATATTTCTACTCTCGTGCCGTATAACATTTCCGCTTTAGCCTTGCTGTTGGTGATGAAACTTAATGATGCTGCATTGTCCCACATAACGTTGGCCCAGCCCTTTCCTGTTCTAACTCTTTGAAGTAGAAGAAGACATGTGTCGCTCAAAATATCACCGCAAGAACTTGCTGTTACAGAAACGCTGGCTTCCCGATTTTCCTCGTGTAATGTTTTGTGATGTGTCCTTGTGCAACCAGTTTCACCACAAGCTTTCCTGCTTCTGCAATCACGTAGACGATGCCCAATCTTCAAACATGACCAGCATGCACCCCTTATGCAGTCAGCGGTCAGCGAGCATGATGGCCTCGTTTTTTGTTGGCTCCGCCAACTTGACATAATTTCTCACGTTATACGTAACTTTAAGGGGCACAATATTAGTTTATCTAGATGTGCCCTCTCCTCTCCTTCCAATATACAATGTAATTCAATTTAAATGTTGTAATTTCTATTTTACGCGTTTATTTCCTTTGTAAATCTTTATCCGTTACGATATTATTTTTTCTCAGTTATATTTACATAACTATGTATCAGCTAGGAATTGGAGGAATAAATAAAATGAAAAATAAAAATAAAATGCACCCCTTTCTCTAAGCATCTCCATTCACTCACCACAAGTCTTGGATAGGTATAATTGGCATTCATTGGTTCCGTAGCTGGCACTATTGTGAAACTGGCGCGCACTGCTACTCTTGCCTTCAAAAGGCTGCTGCCTGTCTTCTTTAAGATCTTCAGCCACCGCATGAGCACAATGAACAGACTGTTGGCCCGCTTGACTTCCGGACGCTCGCAGATCTGATAAATCATATTCGATTGCCCTTTTCTGGTTGAGCAGAAACTTGAGGAGGCCTGGAAATTTGTTTTTCTTATCGACGCTACTCGAGTCTGAGCTGACGAGCCTCGCCCACTCTCTTCTAATATCAGCTGGTAGCCTTTTTTCAATTATGCTTACGAAGCTTGTGGTTGTTATCTCTTTCTCTAGTCCGAGCCTCAACAAGTCTCGATAACCACTTTCAATAATTTCAACAAACTCGACGAATCTCTTATCTTCTCCCTCTTTGATGGCTGTAACTCGCTGTATGCTATTAATAATCACATCTGTTATCTTGGCTGGATCACCATACGTCTCGTCCAAGCGTCGCCACATTTCAATGTCATCATCGACCCCCCTCACGACCTCCAGTGGCCCCTCGCAGAGGCAGGAATGCAAAGTGTAAGGCGCAGTGCTGCAACTTGGCATAACTTGAACTTCAAAGTCTTTTCTAAATCTCGGGTACTCCCGGGGCATCTTTATTTTTTCAAGGCGAAGGTTAGTAGTTTTCGCTTCAAGATTCTTCACACCCACTTCTACCTTTGTCTGATTGGCAATGACTGATTCAATCCTGTCCACAACCTGATTGTATCATTTCTGCACGACCAAAATCCATCCCACCTCAGTCGATGCCACTTCTCTGCTCAAAAATTCCAAATATTTGTCGCAACCAGCTAACGAAGCTTCTAACACTTGCTGAACTTTCCTGAGAGTAGGAGATACATCCCTCTCGGCTTCGCACGCTTCCTGCAATGTAAAGGCGTCCTCCAACAGCCCTCTAAAAACTGCTTCCTCTGTGTCTCGCTTTATGAAAGCTTGATCGATTAACTTTAGAGTTTTTTCGTAGTCTTTTTTAGCCGCCTCTTGCTGACTGAGTACCTGTTTCTCTATCATCGCCTTAGCTGCCTTTGAGCCGATGTATTCAACCTGTTTCTCCATAGCTTCGCTAAATGAACTCTGTAACTCTGCTATCCATGCTTTGCTTTCTTCTACTTCACTATCCTTTAAGAACGTTGTGTACATAACATGCTTGGCCTCCACATTTGTCCATGCCTCGTTCAGCTCCTTGAAGTTCACTCTCAGTATTTCTGATCCTTTGTCCTCCTTGACTGACTTCGTTAACTCAGTGAATTTTCTTGTAAATTGTCCTTTCGCCGCGTGTCTCTGGTTTTTGCCGTCTTGATCAGCCATCACTGATGTCACGCTTTGGGTTTCGAATGTTTCACTAGCTGTAATCCACTACATTCATTACCGTTCTCAAAGATGCATTACAATGCCTTCGAAACCTAAAGTAGAATACTTTATATCACTACGAGAACGCATAAATAAAATAATATAACGAACATCAGATCAATGTTCCTTGATAGGTACCCGGTAGCAATTTATTGTATCCTGCAGCTGCGAATTTCCAATCCATTGAGTCCTCTCAAATTCACTCTTGTAAGCCACTCTCCTCTCTTTTCCATGACGAATCTACTCTTGCAAGTTACAACTCACGTCTTTGAATTAATCACAATTTCACCGTACTGAAAAGTGCAATTAAAATTTATGAATGCTAAATGTTAAGGGCTTCAACGAGCACGTGCGTATGGAATGTCACGAACTTTTGCTCGTATCAGCGAAACAAAAAGTAATGACTCCTTTAGCTAGTTGTTAGCTGAGTTCAACTAACTAATTAACCTGAAATTAATCTCTGTTCCATTCCTTTTTGGGGGGGGCTAGAGGTGAAGCAAGAAGTTTGTGGTTATTTCAACAATTCCATACTCACAACCAAAAGATAATATTTTTCTATTTCTGTGCTGTAGTTGTTGTAAAATATCCTCATACCTGCCTAGATCCTCCAGTTCCCTGGCAAGTTGCGAAGTTCTCACTGCAAACAGACATGATTAATATGATGTTAGAAAGAAACAAACAAAAATTTTCAACTTCCAGAAAACATCACTGTAATTCCAACATGGTGATCCTTTCAATCTCTCTAAGTAAACTACAAATTCTTAATTGTAAATTGGGTGAAATCCCCTGGCTAATTCTTCATGATTAATCACATTGACAAAATTTGGAAAATGCGATGGTATATTTGCTCGGAAAGAAGGTTGATTGATAGTTTGTTATAATTTAAGGGAAGGAGATTTTTAGCACCGGAAAGCTCTAAAAGAATTCTGAGCTCCTGGTGAGAATTGAACTCATGACCCTCTGAGTTCTAGTACGGATGCTCTAACCATTGAGCTGTTGGAGGTTCTATGGCATTGAATTGGGTTGACATTGAATTATAATTATATAAACTACACCAGGCGTAAAGGACTGTATGGGGGACTTGCTCGAAATCAGTTGTCCACCAGTGTAAAGGACCAAGGCTGTACAATATAATTTGGAAGAAGGAGATTTCTAACACCAGGAAGCTCAGAAAAAATTCTGAGCTCCAGATCTAGATGAGAATCAAACTCACAACCCTCCAAGTTCTGGTTCGGATGCTCTGACCACTGGGCTACTGCTGGCTCTGTGGTGAGCAGAGCTTGGAAATGAGGCTGCTTGGGCAAAAAAATTATGGCGTTCACGGCTATTTGAAGACAAAATAGCTGAACAGAATAAATGCAAGAAAATGCAAGAATATGCAAAACATAATGCTTGATAGATTGAAAGATGTTATCTACTTTTTGAGGAGTATCTGCAAAAAAAATCATCCTGTGTGACGAAAAGTAGGCTTTAGTTTTGAAGAGAGCCTACAAGGAGGTTTTTTTTACAAGCTTAAACATATTTTGAATGAATAATAAAACAATTGGTGAATTTGGCTTTTGTATAATGTGAAGAATAAAAAATTATGCTGATCTCACAGGCTGTTATCCTTCCCAGCCTTTGGCCTCGGTGGATAATGTTCTCCTGGATCTGCACACTTCTAAGTTGTTTATCTTTTGGTTGCAGAGGCGATTCCCTGATTTTTCTTACATTACAAGGGCAGGCCGCTTGACCCAGCATCTGGATTGTGTGATCATAAGGTATATTTTCCTCTCTTTGATAACATGACTGTTCATGAATGAAACCTTTACTCTAAAACTCAGAAAACTGAAACACCTTCAAAATATTTTACAGTGTAATATCGTACAATAATATTTTGTTAAATATTGAGGTACTCGTAGTGTGCCTATAAATTATATACTTGCAATGTGTCAGTGTGTATGAAAATGAATATTTGGGATTCATTTTCAGTATTGTTAAATTCAGACTCATTTGTAGCTTTTTTCTCTTATTCTTACTTTACTTTCCAGTCATTTTCATTTGGATCACTGTGGTGCCTTGCCATACTTCTCAGAGATGGTTGGATATGATGGACCTATATACATGACTCACCCAACCAAAGCTATCTGTCCCATCCTACTGGTAAGTCTTCCAATAGGAACCTTACAAACCTATGACGACAATAGCAATGCAGTGATTTTGTTACATATAGTTATGGCAAGTCCTGGAACTCATGTATCCCAGTTTAAAAAAAAAGAGTCCTAAATTGAAAATGCTTAGGCCTTTTAATATGTACATGTAACCAGACAGTTACAGTAATGTGGAGACAGATGCCAAAACTCTTTATTACAGTTTACTGAAATTAAATGTAGTCCTTATATATATTTAAAGCACAGAAAAGACTAAAATAAAAATGCATCTTTAAACAACAGCTACAGAAATGGCACAAACACGATATTCTACCAAAAGATCTTCAAATCAATCCATCGTTCTCTGCATCCTAGGGGACGTATGCCATAAATTATTTTGCATCTTTAGGGATTTTTATGCATCAGGGACACAGGACGCAGAGGTAACAAAATCACTGCGATAGGAACATCTAAAACACAATAGCTTTACTGAGCAAAACAGCAAATCATGCATTTTTGTACATTTCTTTGCCCTCCCTGAACAAATAAGACATGAAATGACCAATGGGTTTGGCAAGGCAATAAATTTTACTATCTCTCTCAAGCCCTAGGATTTCAAATCCCATTGAAAACAGTTTTTTGGTTCTGTGGACAGAGATCATAGGAAACCAACTGTAACTATGTTTTGGTTCCATGAAAATTCATGGAAACCCACCTCCTAAATGTTTTCAATTTTTCATGGTCATATACTTTTGTCGTGGTACTGGAAGCTATAAACCAGTAACGTGCAGTGTACTTGGGAATGATTCAAGATGGCAGACAATAGGAAACTGAAGGATGCTAAATTCTGTTTTAGTTTCGTATTTAAGCCAATTCATAACTAAAGAATTGCTCTGCTAGTTAAGGATCTGAGAGCAGAAATAGTGAATTTCAGTAAACTGGCCCCTAAGGCTGAAAATGTCAGTGGGAAACTATTTTTCGGTTCCGTTATTTTAAGACCACAGTAACGACACGGTACCTGAAACGATCCTTACCGTGAAATCCAAGGGCTTGTCTCTCAGAACTCAGATGCGGTCCTCACTCTTTAGTTCCTACCTAACTTTCCTACTTTCAAGTAACTGGGTGACTTGGAATACAGGCAAAAAAGTTTAAAATGACACAAAGTCTATTTTTCATTGAAGTTTTCATTGATTTCACTGTTGTCAGATTGTAAGCTCCCTTCTAGAAAGACTGTCAGTCCACACAATTTTAGTTTTGTCTATTTTTCAGTGACATTATTTTTCATTGATTTTGCTGTTGTCAGATAGTAAGCTCCACTCTAGAAAGACTGTCAGTCCACACAATTTTAGTTTCATGTATTTTTCAGTGACATTTTCATTGATTTTGCTGTTGTCAGGTGGTAAGCTTCCCTCTAGAAGGACTGTCAATCAACACAATTTTAGTTTCATGTATTTTCAGTGACATTTTCATTGATTTCACTGTTGTCAGATCATAATCTCCCTTCTAGAAAGAGTACTGTCAGTCCACACAATTTTTCAGTGATGGCTTTCTAATATTATGTGAAAACATTAACCCACGTAAATCTCAACTGCCATAACTGGGCATGTGGATCGTTTTCCCCTTTACCTGTTTTAAGGTAATGAGTTTTAATTGTTATAGAAGACTTATCTAGTAACGTGTGCAGGGAGAAGAGATCTTTCCAACTATACCCAAATAAGCATGGTTCAGCCTAACAGGCCCCAGAAAAATGCAAAAAAGAAAGAAAACACATGAACAGTTTACCAACACCTGTATATAAATAAATGTAATTGTTTATGTCCAGTCATTTTTCTGTTCTCCATAATGACTTAAGTAGACAAACTGTGCTTGATTTTAGTTATTTTATATGCTGTTAGTTGTTTGCAAAATAATGATTGTTTAAAAAAATGTAAAGTTTTCCAGAAAATTCCAGTGAACTCTTGTTCCAAGGCAATACCCACCCATACAAGTTGTAAATTTTGTACAGAAATGAGTTTTAACCAATCAGAGACCTGTTTGAACACTGTTTGTTTGAAATTAACAAATGGTTTGTCCAATCAGAACTGCAAATGATGTTTCCACTGCACTGCTCAATTTTTCTGCACCTTAAGTCTCGTAACCTGAAGCAAGCACCATTGAAGTGCCAAGATCCTTGCAGCTCTTTACAACCTCCGATTTAATTGCACCTCTGTTGGTCACAGCTTTTTCATTTTTGGGCTAGGTTTCATTGTTAACTTTGTTTGTTCATTGTTTTCCCAACCACACCTGTGAGGCTTTCCAAGAACTGCAGGGTTGCCCCCAGGTACTCTTGCCAAGTGTTGATTGTTCATTTGTGGAGGCTTCTAAAAGAGCTGCCTGTTGTATGAATGTTTTATTTTTTAATCCTGTGCCAGAATATAAACAATCCTGCTCACTTTTGACTGGGGTGCACATGCATCACATAATGTTTGTTTACACAAGCCAAAGATTCTTTATCATATAATAACCACTTGTAAGATTACTGTTGTATGAGTGAGTGAGAAAAAGATCAGTAATTCTTGCAGGAATCCAAAATCGAGCTGATCAGTTTGAGGTTCTCTTAGTTTTTTCTTCTTTAAAACTTGTCGCCTAAGAATATAGAAATGCTAAGTAAAGATAAAAACAACAATACTGAAACCACAAATGGCATAGCTGCGAGAAAAGGACTATAAAGTGGTGACCAAAACAAGAAACGGTTATCTTAAACCCCCTTCCTTCTTGAACTCTTTCACAAACCATTGTTTAAAGTGGGACCTAGGCATTTTTATAAGGCTGTGCTCTAGCACCCCCCTGATGACCCCCTAGTGGCACCTAACTTTTCCTCTTAGGTAACTATTTTTTGAAATTATTATTTATTTATTTATTTATTTATTTTATTCAAGACATTTATTACTCTAATTACAAAGAACTACTTAAAAAGAAACTAATAATTAGAAAATTCTAAACAACCATAATAACAGAAGGAGAGAAAAAGACTGAATACTATTACAACCCTCCAAGTTAAAGTTTTTTCTTGGTCACCAGTTGGTGACCAACTCTTTAGGTTTAGGGAGACTTTTTTACAAATCAAGTCACCAGCTTCAAAATTCTATGCGCCATAGCGAGTAAAATGGTTGCAACTTGGAGAGTTGACTTACAGTTATCTACATTCCACAATTATATAAGTTACAGCCAAAAAACAGCCACGCAATTGCTGAAGTGTGGCATATTTTTGATATAGTTAATTAATACTTAATTATACGTGTAGATAAAAGAGAAATTAACACTTATTTACAGTACACTCTGAAATAAAAGAAAAACAAAAAAAACAATACAGAAAAAAGTATCTAATAAAAGATTACAATTTTAATTACACACGAACTTAATTAAAGGAGAGAAATGCCTTTTGGTCATTTTTCATAAAAGGTTTCTAATTTATTATTCTTAGCGGAAATATATTTTTCAACTTGGTATTTCATTCTTATCCTCTTAGGAAACTGGAAATGTGTACTCTTTGGCCCCGTGTTAAAATTTTCTAGAAATTCTATGGATAAACACCATTAACGATTCCAGTTTTAAAAGATTAATCTCCTTTTAGTTTTTTCCATTCTGGTCATCATTCAATTTACAGGAGGACTACCGAAAAATTACTGTGGAAAGGAAAGGAGAGACCAACTTCTTTACATCACAGGTACTTAGCTTGCACTTGTTCAAACCATAAGAAACAGTGAGTGGATGAGACTGATTCACTGGTGTGAAGGATTCTACAGTTGGTAGATGGCATTATCTAGTCTGCTGAAGATGAAGGCAGAGGCCAATTATAGCACCCTCTGAGATCTGCAGACTTTTTCAAGCAGATTAAACTGTCTAATCCAAAATATCTCTAAGCCCATAATGTCCTTACCTCCACACACAATTTGTTCAAACATTTGCCAATTCTGTGGCAGTTTCAGACTATGGCGAGATGTGTTTTCTTACAGATAACTTAGAGAAAGCCATTAACAGCTCCAAAAGCCTTTTTGTCAATTCTCACTTTCTTTTTGAATCCATTGTTTGGCTATAAATTTGAGTTTGCTAATCTTCTGGCCACCGCCTCAAGTTTGTTTTTGCCAAAATTTTTGAGCTACTGCTCTACACGATATCATGTATCCCGTAACTAATTTTTTTATTGGATGATTGATGTAAAATTAATCCTCTGAATTTGGTCAGTGAGAGCATGTTATTTAAAATTGACAATGAGAAATGGAGAAATACTTAGAGTGAATAATAATGGGCTTGAAAATAAATTACTTGATTATCTTAGTCTGTAATGATAAATTCTGCCTTTGTCAGAAATTGCTTTAAGTTTTTTTTCAATTTTGATGTTGGGTTTAATCTAATGAAAACTTTAAGTTAGTTATGTCCTGGCCCTGTGACTAAGATTTTACTTAACAGTTTAAAAAGATTGCAGAAGGATTGCAGTAGCTGTTGCTTGTGAACAGCCACTCACCATTTGTTGAGATTTAGTTCCATAAATACTTTGGGGCAAGATTTACTTCCATATATATTTTAAAATATAGCTCATGAAAACAAATCACTTGGCTGATCCTTTGGGGAAACTAGTTGATTTTGTTGGCCCTGAACCTCAATGTTTCTGTTGAGTACTCTCTCCTGAGATTATGAAACCAGCATTATTAAATTCGATGGACTTGAAAGTAATATTTTCTTACTAAATTGTTATGCAAATTGTTTCTCCCACAGATGATAAAGGATTGTATGAAAAAAGTGATAACTGTCAATCTCCACCAAACAGTAAAGGTTAGTAGTAATAATATTGTTCTATTGATCATACGCCATTTTATTGTAACACTCTAAAGGGCTTTTCAGTTTCAAGACAATGTAGCCAAAATTCTAAAAAAGGAGAGGAAATAAGGGAAGTATAGAAAAAAAGTGCAATACAAAAACAAAATAATGAATCAGATAGGATTAGCTATAATTTTACAAATTATATTATTGATCAGAAATCAGTGCATTTGAGAATTATAATCAATTTGCTTTTTAAATATGTTATCTTAGTCTGTTGACTTCTGTTGAACAATTCAGTGGCAGATCTATGGAAGGGATGCAATTTTTAGGCCCAGCTTGGGCCCATGATAGGGCCAAGAAAAATTATTTTTGAGACTGAACCCCCACCTCTTCTTTTACAATCTAGGGATTCCAATGAGCAGGCCCTCCATCAATGGCAGATTCAGTGCTTAAAGTTGTTTTGAGGGCCTGCTCATCTACACTGTAGACCCTAAGATAAAAGGGGGGTCAGGTATTATTTCTTGGCCCTGCAGGCTTCAGTTTGGCTTAAAAAATAAGGTGAGGGACTGTGGGTGCAGGCCATTCCCCTAGCTTTGCAATTTTATTTTCTACCTTGCCTCACGCTCTTTGCCTAGAAGGTGGAGGTTATTGATACACAAATTTATATGAATTAGAAAAATGTTTTGAAAATGGCATAAATTGGTGCCAGACACGGATTTTGCATTTCCACCACACTGTTATGCTCTTTTTCTGCCTATTTATTTAACAGTTTGAGTTCATTTGAAATACTGTAAATTAAAGCAATTCTATATTGAGACTAAATTTAATTTGAGAGGGAAAATAAGCCACCCTCTCTAAGTAGTACCACCCCTCCCCCCTCTTACCTCAGCAAGTTTTAAAAAAATCATCATAATGTAAGTTGCTGGGCAAGCATTCAGAGTAACTGGGAATGTAGAATTAACAAGGTCCAAACGTTTGGAATGAAAACTTCCCTCTAAAAAACCTCGAGTCAAATCTGTGTAGTCCAGTGTAGTCTTCCTCATAACCGTTTTTTGGATGTCACACAGAGCATTGCGTGACCTTCGAAAAACAATGAACTATGATAGGATTTCAACAGGAATGGCTCTTTTTTATTATTCACTATAGGTTGACGATGAGTTGGAAATAAAGGCGTATTATGCTGGCCATGTACTTGGAGCTGCAATGTTCCATTTAAGGGTTGGAACTGAATCATTAGTTTACACTGTAAGTTATAATCACAACACAATACTTTGAGATAAATGAGTTTCAAGATTTGGTTCATCAAAGGTCCATTTTACCCAAAAACAGGCCCTCCGATAGGGTGTGGCATTTCCAGTTGGTTATGTTATGCAACCAATGTGCTCCATTGAATGTGAACTTGCACCAGCTACAATGCCAGTGATTTGGTTACCATTAGCATGTAATTCCCAGCTTGTACCCGTATATCCTCCTGGAGCTTCTGAAGTGTAGGATAGCAGCTGTCATTGTCAGATGCCTCACAGTTTAAAAATACATCACAATTCCTTGTAGCTTGTTTTCCTTCTATGTGCTTTGTCAAATGTAGGAGCTGTGACTTTCGCATGATTTGAAGTTTAGTTTGTCATGTTTTTCCTCTAAAATAAGTTTTAATGTATTGATACATTATTGCCAGTTTAAAAAGTAGAAATATCAATAATAATTTATTATCAAGGCCTTGTTCTTCTTATAGGGTGACTACAACATGACACCTGACAGACATCTGGGGTAAGATACACAGTTTCCTGTCTGTCAGTATTATAGTCCTGTGGCTGCTTAGGTGCAATGCCACTTCTTTTAGTTAATTCATCTTGAAGTCCTGATTTTTTCTTGGTGTCTTCTCTCAGGCTTCAGTTATCTTATTATAACTAGTGATAACCATAGGTTACGGAGTGCAGGCAACAGCTATCGTAACCTATGATCAGGTGTCTTTTCGTGCTTAATTGCTTCATGCTGTGCTTTGCATGAGTTTCACGTGACAGATAGTCAAAACACGCATGATCAGATTGCGAGTGATGGATGGTCCAAAAGCGTGATCAAATTGCGTTCTATGCATTCTGTTCAATTTTAGTATCCAAACGATTGCTGGCTACATACATGCATACATGCAAAGCATGCATAATTAGGGTTGCAGGCTCCTCTTGTCACCTGCAATAATACAGTTGAACCTCCAATAAGCCGCCTCCTTTGAAGCAGCCACCCAGCCTTTATTAAGCAGCCAGTAATCAAAGTCCTGGGTTGTAGAAAAGATTGGGAAATTAAACCTCTATTAAGCGGCCACCTTTTGGCGGTCCCAAGAAGAGTTCCCCCATTGTTGTCACCTCTATTAAGTGATCAAGCACCCCCGGGGGGGGGGGGAAGAAGTACTTTAGGAATTTCTGGGTGGGGATGTGCCGCTGGGACCTTGGAACCCTTATCCTATACCAGAGCTAGTTCAGCTGAATTTTGCTACCCTATACAAGAGAAAACTCCCCAAATCCCCCCTATCCTAGAGTAGCTGTTTTCCAGAAACTACTGAGGTCAGTAACACAGTCTAGCCAAAACAAAACCTTATACCACAATCCCTAGTATAGATAAAATCTTCAACCAACTGATCAGTTTCCTGAAAAATGATACCCTATTCTAGACCCAAACGCTCTGATTTATATACCCTATCCTAGAGTAAACTGCTTGAAAACCATACCCTTACAGCAGCACATACCTGTATAGCCCATATATGGCAGTACACCGCCCCCCCACCTCCGGGTCAAGCACTTGATACACTTAGTTTGGCTTTATTTCAAGAATATGATGAAGGAAAATATGGTCTCAAATAGAAGTTGACAACCAATTGTGTTCCAGTAACACTGCTCCCATCGCGTGTTTGTTTCAAAATAAATTGATGTTTCTGTGTAAGTTTACCACTAATATATGACAAACCTCTGCAATGAATCCTTCTTTCTTCCATAATTTTAATTCCAATATTTTATGCTGGGACTTTCTAAGGTGGTACCACTTCCATATCTTGAGAACTTAATGTAAAGCTATGACTTAATTTTCTTAGGGCAGCCTGGATTGACAAATGCCGACCAGATGTGTTGATAACCGAGTCAACCTATGCAACAACCATCAGAGACTCAAAGAGGTAAAAACTGAGTGGATATGATACGGGAACGGTAAACAGCAATAATTAAACTGTATTGTTATTGTATAGTTATGGACTTACCTCCAGGGTAAGGAACAAATACAAAACCTTCAAAATAAATTAGTTCCTCCTGAAAAATGTAATGTTTAAAAGTAGTTAGGTAAAATGTATAACTGCACATTCACCAATCAACTGGATAAAAAGCACAGCGATAGTTTTTCTTCCATTGCTGTGCTTTTTAATATTTCTTGTTTTTAATTTTTTTTTTTTTTAGTATCCGGGCCCGTTGTAATTGGCCACAGCTGTTATGGTGTTACTGCCAACGTTCTTTCCTTTTTTCTTACTTTTGAAAATACACCTAAGACCATTTTACAGCTGTGGACTTAGTGCCCTAACCTTCAAGTGAATGTGAAGCTGATGGTGACCTTCTTTTGATACAAACCTCCTTTGCTTTAACTATATTGGGATGAAGACTGAAAGAATTCAAATTCACTTTTTAAGTGTTGTGCTATCGCATCCTTTGATCTTAAAGTCCCTATTGCATTTGGTGGAAAATAGTTTGGCATTTACTGTGTCATTTCACTGACTTTTTTAACAAGTACAATTCTCGCGTCTAAATCACACAATTTAAATTCACTTACTTAATTGAAAATTTAAAACATTTAGTAGGTGCTGTGATGCTATGGTTTTTTGTAGTAAACTAATCGGATCAAATCTCTGCACTGAGGGTCTCTTTTTTAGCTGTTAAAAATCACTGGGTGTGAATTAGAATTTAAAAATTATGCTGAATTTCTAGGAGGTTATACCAGCCTATGCTTCTGTTATGCAGCAAATTAACTGATACCTCTAGTGTTTGGGTTTCCCTCATATATACTGTCCTGAAATTCACAACTAAATCAGAGATTTCAGATGCTTGGCATGGTGTCTGCAAAGAAAATTGCTTTCCTAGCATTTACATTAAGCTATTTCTAACCCTGATCTCCTTATTTTTGGTTGTGTTCTTAACTTAATGCTAACCAGACAGGACATGCAGGATATTCAAGCATTGACCTTTTCTGACTATACAATTCACAGATGCAGAGAGCGCGACTTCCTAAAGAAAGTTCATGAGTCCATGGATAAAGGTGGAAAGGTAATTAATTCTCTAGAGGGTTATTAACACAGAAAACAATAACTCTATTGTGTCACAATTTCCGCTATTAAATAGTTGTTATTTCTTTTTTTCTTTTCTTTTCTCCTACATTGATTTACAACTGGTGAAAATATATTACTTTACAACCCAAAAAATTCTACTGGCAATTTACACCAATTTACTAATAATCCACAAATGCATCTTTGGGTTTTCTAAATTATGTGAAAGAGGCAATTACAGAAAAGTAATACTCTTTGACTGTATGCATTACATGTAATTAGTATGTCTGTTATTGACCTGTTGTTAGGTCAATATGGCTGGATGTTGGCCAAATTCTTTTTCGCGTTTTTATTGAGTCAAGGTCTATTACCATAAAATGCAAATATGAATGAGGCCAATATCCAGCCATCTTAGTCAATAAATGATCTACTGTTTTGCCAAGAAGTGAACTTTTTCGCGTGAGATTAATGCGGCAAATCACAAACAGTCAAGATTGGCCCATCTTGCCCACTTAGGTAGCCAATTAGAACATAGCATTTGCTTCAGCTTCCTTTCTCATGCATTCAGCCATTATACTCAGTTATAGTCAGAAGGTCTGTAACCGCACCTTGTTAGACTGGCTCTGTTTGAAGAGCACCAGTCTGCTAAACATAATTAAATGTGTTGATTTGACTATGCAGGTGTTGATTCCAGTGTTTGCATTAGGAAGAGCTCAGGAACTTTGTATTTTATTGGAAACATATTGGTATGATACTGTTTGTAGCATTTAATTTTCTTTGTTTGATTACCACTGTAGACATATATAATCAGTAAGTCTATATTTAAGTTTATATAATAAATAGTTGAAGCGCATAGGAACTCTCATCCACTCAGAACTCCACCCAGTCACTATAACTAATCACAAACAAATAATCTAAATCAAACACAACTAAATTGGCAGAAGACAAACAAGTTTGATATTACAAGCATCTCTGAGGAGTTGCTGAGAAACAAATCCAGCTACCTCCAGATGGTGATTCTGAGACTTGAGACTCTGCCACCCCTCTGTCTTTTGTTGGTTTGATATTTGAATGATTTTTGGGAAGGTTCTTCAAATGTTTTTGTTAAAATTTCATAACTAAACTACAAACAATTTCAAAAAGGGTGACAGTTAACACTTTGCAGATTGAATGGGAATTTGAAAACGTTGATTTTTGAGGAGAGGAGAAAACCTGAGTACCCAAAGCAGAGAAAAGAACCAAAAACAAACTCAGCCCACCAGCCCACATGCTGTCAATGTTGGCTTCATTGGTGGGTAGCAAGTGCTCTCACCGCTGCACTTTTCCTGACCCCCTTTCTCTTTGTTGTGCTCTGCTGATCTATACGTACATTTCAACCATAATGGAACCAAATGAATGTACCAGAAGCAGGCAGTTCTTACCCATTCTTTTCTTTTCTAAAATCACAAGTTAATTTGTACTGTTCTTATTTTTATTTCCCAGGGACAGAATGAATCTAAAAGCCCCCATATACTTCTCAACAGGGCTAACTGAAAAGGTATGTGAATTTTACCACAGTTGTCTGTGATAAACTTATTTTGACACATTCTATGACTAAGCTATACCAAGTTGTAGTTTGCCATTGTGTTGTATCCTATGTCAATATCCCAGCAGGCCTTAATTCAGGGTTTTGAAATAAACTACCCCCTTTGCCTGCAAAGGACAGTTTGCAGCCAGAATGACCAAACACAAAATACTACTTGCTAAGGTGCAGGATTGCAGGAAAGCCACTCATGCTCACTTGCATCTCATAACAAAAGATTGACAGTAATACTCGGAGGGTTGTAAGTTTGATTCTCTCAGCAAGCTCGGAGTTTTTTCTGAGTTTTCTTGTGATAGATTTTTCCTTCTTCTTCAATACAATACATTTGTTCTACGAATTGTTCTTTTAAGCACTGAATTAATTTTCTGCAATCCCACATTTCAATCAAAATATTGAAGTCCAGTCTTGTGAAAGAGATAAAACAGTTGTGTCCTCAGTTAGTACTATATAGTGTACCTTGAAGCTTAATTAGTGACGTTTTATCCGAACGCTAAGTTAGTTAAATATATATTCTTTTTTTGTAATCCTTCCAGGCAAATCATTATTACAAGTTATTTGTGACATGGACAAACCAAAAAATAAAGAACACATTTGTACAAAGAAACATGTTTGACTTCAAGCACATCAAGGTAAGTGCATGAGATGGATTATAAAAACGATGAACTCAGCTGTTAAATGCCTGCAGCAGTTTGACTTTTGCTTTCTTGTTACTCAATACCCATGATCATTCTATAAATAAAGAATGAAAGTAACTTTGTGTGATACATTATTTTGCAAATTGCAGCCAAATTGCAATCAAGAGCAAACCTATTGCAAAAAAGGTAGATCCCTCTTAATATTTGTTTCATGACCAATCACATCCAATTTTGACTGAAATTCTGCTTCGTGCTTTTGGATAGCATTGAAATTGGTTGTGATGTACTCTGTGACGGTTTTAAAATTTAAAGGTCTTCCTACCCATCGGTAAGAAAACACAGTGCATTAATTACAATGTAACAAATATGTTTTATTAACTGGGGATGTTAGCAAGTGTGCTTTTGTCAACGCACTGTTTCTTCACCTTTGTCCTTGGTAAAACTTGATGATTATGAGAGTTATAACAGATTAGACTTGAAGCTTTAGGTCACATCCACACGAATCCCGATATTTTTAAAACTGCATATTTTTTTGCATGAATTGGCCTTTTGTCCACACGAAACTAGTAAATCTCATCATCGAAGCGCATCTTTCTGAAGCCGCTGCCCAGATTACTTTAAGGCCGCGTCCACATGAATCTGGGTAAAATGTAAGTGGTGTCAAAAAATCAATATCCAGATTTTTGTGGACGAGGCCTTAGAATGCAGCAGATTTACGTTGAATTAATTTGTAAACAAACCATCCTTGTTATACTTGAATGGTTTGATTGCTGTCTCTTTCAGCCCTTTGACAGATCCTACATTGACAATCCAGGACCAATGGTAAGAAACGTTTATAATCTCACGTAGCAAGCTTTTTTATGTTTTTTATTTAATATTTAGTGTATTTTGAATTTAACCATGTAAGTCACAATATTGATGTACAAGTTCTCTACTCTGATTTCCATACCTTTCCTCATATAATTAGTTGAGAGAATTTCTTTAAAGATCAAAGCTTTTTTCCCCTCAACTGATTACTTTAGCATTGATATTGTTAGCATCAGTCACTCTTGGGACTACAGGGTTAGGAATAATAATAACTCTACTTTGAGGCGTTGAATCCTTTGTGTAACTCCTTTACACAAATAGAGTAAACAAACTTATTACTAGCAACCGCTTTATTGAAATAATGCTTGTTTCTTGCAGAATTTATAATATCGGTTTCACTGTAGTAGTTCGCTTGTCTTCAGCCATAGGACTGTGCAGTTTTCTTTTTCATGTTGAGCGCATGATCAGCTCTTTTAATCTCATCCCCTTCATGTGTAAGGACGACAAAGCACATTCTGGTTACCATTTGGGTTAAAGGGCTCAATTAGAACCACCCACCCGTTCTTAGTACTACTCAACCTTGTATCTAATGTGTAATGGTTGAAGGTTTTCAATGGGCTTTAAGGCCATAAGTGTAGACTCTCCTAGTTGCCCACCCATAGTCCTAGCCAGTTTTTGTGATTAAATGTATTGTAATTAGTGTGTGATGAATGAAGGGTTCTAAAAATGGTCTCAAAATGCATAAGTAGATCTGGTCAGTCTTTATGATCAGTGTGCGATAATTGAAGGTTTTCAATAACCTCAAACCCTGAATAGAAGACTGATCCACCCGTAGTTCGGGCTAACCTTTGTTTATCAATCTTTGATGACTGAATGTTTCGGTGGGCCCTCCTCCCTCTCGTTTTTTAGGAGCTGCGTACTACCCCTGCTTAAAGGGCACACGTAGACCCAACCACTAACAGTCCGAGCCAATTTCTATGATCAATGAGTTATAACAGCCCCTTGCTGTTGGTTGTCAGTGGAACATTTTATTTTTGGGACCGTTAGAACGGTAAACCATTGCCGTACATATATTTTTACAGGTTGTGTTTGCCACACCTGGCATGCTTCACGCTGGATTGTCGCTTCAGATTTTTAAGAAATGGGCTTCAGATGAGAAGAACATGGTATGGATCTTTGTTGACCAAATTATCATATCTTATAGATACATTTTATGGGAATCAAGTCTTCTTTCTTCAGAAAGCCATAAACTGCCGCCCATAACCCCCCCCAGTTTTAGGCCCATCTACTTGTAAACAAAAAGATACTTCCGATTACAAATCCCCTCGTATATTACCTTCCCTCTCCCCTCCAAGTGTTTTGAACTGATTTTGGGAAAAAATGAAGAACAGCTCCCCCTAAAAACCGTTGGGCGACTGTCGACCCACAGTCGACCGACTAACGGCCGATTGTCGGTTGATTGTCGGCTGACTGGCGGCCGCCTGTGTCGGTGATGTGTCGGTAAAAATTATGGTGTGTTTTGTCTTATTTCATGCCTAAACAGTAGTTACGTGATATATACATTACATTGGGAAGCTTAATTACGTTTTGAACCGTAATTAAAACAAGTAAATGCAAAACGTATTTTCGTCAGCACTGCTATAGCTTATTGAGAAGCGCTTGTTCTATTCCTGTCATTAGCCCCCTCGGATGTAAGCTCCTCCAATTACACGCCCCCCTAAAAACCGTTTACAAAGATCTATAAGGCAAGGGGTAACAAGCGACGGTTTACGGTATTTCTCTGTGGCCATCTCGTCCCTCCACAGGCTCGTTGCCAAGTTTGGTGTACATGTGTTCAGAAACCCTCAAAACAAACTTGGAGCAGTCAGTTACATGTAAGAATGTTTGCTAAGGACGAGTGAGCCAAAATTGGAAAGAGTCAATCATGTTATTTGGGGACGGAATGGCAGGGACATTATTGTACCATTTTATGACGACTTTTGATGAACTAGCATCTGGATTGTAAAGGATGTGGGTTGCTTGCCAGCAAATAATTTTCTTTGCGATTTCGCATCGTCACGAAATATAAATTTTAAAAAAACTGCTCTCCTGCAGCTTTGCACTTGATCTCTTTAAAAGAGCAGCAGCAAATGCTGAAACTAATAAAATGTGGAAACTAATACTTTTTAAGGGAGAAAGGGGCTCGGCAAGTAAATTAGATGATAGTTCTGTTTTTGATCTTTTCCAAAATCGTTGTTTGCAGTTCAATAGCTTGTGCGCCTCGTGGCCTTGAAAGCCGTATTCTATGAGTTTACTTTTGTAATATACCATAGGTTTTTGACCAACCAGAACCCGATAACTGTTGATAACTGATTCTCAACACGAATATGAGCCAGTCAAAGTATAGGCTTTGGCTGTGTACGTGTTAAATAGGTTAAAAGATCTTAGATCATCATACGTTTCTGGGAAACTGCCCACCTACCCCTCCCCTAAGCCAACATTTTTCCTGAGAAGTAAGTGTTAATGTTGGCTTAGGGTAGGGGTAGGTGGGCAGTCTCTCAGAAACGTATAATAATTCAAACTGTTTTGTTTGTTAATAACAGGTAGTGATCCCTGGTTATTGTGTTGCTGGCACTGTTGGTCACAAGGTTCTGTCTGGACAGAAGAAGATTGAACTGGATAAGAAAAGTGTTGTAAGTACCAAGGATAATGAGAAATAATATTGGTTTCTTTTTAAAAAAAATCATATTAAATAGAAGCTTGGAAATTTCTCATGATTTCTTTTGGAATTGTTTATCCGCCCAAATTCTAGAAACTGTTTAAATTGCTTAACTTGTCTGGCATATATGAAAAATACTTAATACTACCAAACTGGTAAAAGGCATTCGTGATCAATAGCCATAAATGCAACAAACTGACTTCTCTTGCAACAAATCAGGTTGCTGCAATTTGCGTGAACGCTGATAACTTCAAGTTACGTATTGAAGGGAAAAAAGTCAATTTCCAAAATCTTAAATCAAAGTCATTATATGACAGTTTTGTTTCTAAGATATCCAGTATACCAACAGCGCAAATGAAATATAACGAAGCTTTCAGCACACACACATTTCAGTTGGACTGGGAAAAGATATATCTACTGCCCTTCAAAACAACATTGGATACTAAATTAAGAGAATTCCAATATAAAATATTAAACAGGATCTTATACACGAACAAGATGCTGTTTAAGTTCAAAAAAGTAGATTCTCCCTTGTGCGATTTTTGTGAAAAGGAGTTGGAGACCATAGAACATCTCTTTTTCCATTGTACAAAAGTAAGCATGTTTTGGAATGATTTAAAGTCTGTACTTGATTCTTTTAATATAACTATTAGGTTTGATATCATGAATGTCCTTTTTGGGATCTTAGATACAGATAATATAAGCATTCTAGTCAATTACATCATTCTTGAAAGCAAATATTTTATTTACCGCTGTAAGTTAAATAAGGGCTGTTTATGTGTAAGACTGTTAGTCGATAAATTTTAAAAAACGTTTCAAAACGAACGTTTTATCGCGAAAAGAAACAACAAAATCCATTTCCATGATAAAAAATGGAAGCCGTTACTCCCATTAATACAACAGTAGCTGTTATCCAAACTTCGTTTTTCTAATACTCCCTGTATTACTCTGTATTTTAAGTTCAAGTCGAATAAGTTATGTAAGCCTTGTAGTGTAGTGCAGTGTAGCTTTTTATTTATTTATTCTATTTTCTTTTTTTTTTTTTGTAATTAAGGTAGTTGTTGTAAATTTTGTAATGTTTGTATGTTTCGATCTGTATGTTGTTTGTACTATACCTGTAAAAAGAAAATAAATAAATAAAATACAAAAAAAAATAACTTAACGCGGGAGGTTCATTTCAATCCTTTGCTAACTCATGAATAGTGTTCTAATAGTTGGTGTTGTCTGTATTGCTGGTTTGCACGTGACGTCACGGCGGCCATGTTGGTGGTCAAGAACAAAAGCATTTCTCTCCCCTGGGAACTAAACTCTATTTTCATGGAAATTCTTCCAGAAAAAATTCTATTGTATTGACCCCCAACATGGCCGCCTTGTCACGTGGTTGCAAACCAAGAATTGTAACTTTTCAGATTGACGTAAAGCTTTCAGTGCAGTACATGTCATTCAGTGCACATGCGGATGCAAAAGGAATCATGCAGCTTATTCGTCAGGTGAGGACGATGAATACAGTTATATTTTTTTGTAGTGACGAATAAATTAAGGAGTCAGAAGCCAAATTGTACAAGTCAAACCTAGAGTTGAGGTCAGCGACTTTGCACCATGTAATAGGTGGGGTACTTCCCTTGGGGCGGTCACAGCTCTTGCAAGGCCTTACGAGCTTGGCTGAGAAAACAATAAGCAAACAAAAGCAACAATGAATGTATCCCTAA